ATATATATATTTATTTATTTATTTATTTATTTCTGATGAATTAAGCCTCCGTTTGGTGCATATTTTTTGGAAAAAGAATGCAGTTTTACCGTTGATGTGATGTGGAATATGTGGTTGAAAAAGAAGAAAAAGTTATTGATGTGATGAAAAATATTATTTTATTGAAAAATGTGTGGTTAAAAATTATTAGAAAAATGAGAATGAAAAATGTAATGTGGCTCAAATAGGGTATAAATATGGTATTCATCTTTGGATATCATCCTTTGGAATTACCTACTGCTTAAACCTCGTATGGCAGTTATAAAAATAGTTTTGAAACATAGTGTAAAAGTGTAACATAAACACGATGTCTGGAAGCAAATCTAGAACTTATGCATAATATTCTAGTGCTTTTGCTACATTTCTCAACTCAACTCTAAGCAAATTATAATTTCTTATGCCATCATTCTCATGCTGATTTATAATATTTCCTTGTCCATCAGGTTTGGCTCAATCATATCTGGTGCTATTCTGTCTAAATTGTCTGCAAAAAAGGGAACTCCTGAAGGATCAAAGGGCTCTTCAGCTAATAGAAAGCATAGACGTGGGTCTTTCTCATTTATTGGTGGGATGCAGGTAATTTTATCATATCATACAGAACAGGCATTTCCCTGATGTACCACTGAGAGAAATCATTTTTCTACGTGAAAACTGATTCTCAGTTACATCATTGCTGGGGTACTTATTCCACCTTGGAATAAATTGAATCGTCTTATCTTAATTCTAAAACGGTCAATTTTGGAAGAATATACTTAATATTTTCCTATGCATCTTTTCTTGTATGCTCCTCGATCCATCTTTCTTTCTGCTTGGAACGTGCAATTCTCAATGTAGTAACGTTGTGCTTGTTCGTTTTTTGTGAACTTTTTGAAGCATGGACAAAATAATTCTTTTTACATAAATGGATGATACTGATATCTGGTGCACCATGCTTCTTCTAGAAAGATATGTTCTACCTTTTGAATTTTTCAGTTCTATATATTTCATAGCCTTTTCATCCACATTTTGCAGACACTTACTAATGCATTATGCAATGAACTTGGCAAAGAGGAACTTCAACTTCATTCTAAGGTGCTGGAATTATCTTGTAGCTGTGGGGAGAACTCTCCATTAGATAACTGGTCAGTTTCTTACGAAAGGGACAGGAGAAAGCTCTTAGATGAGAAATCCTTTGACGCTGTGATAGTTACGGTGAGTCTTTGTATATGGAGAATTGGTTATAGATAACTGTTTTTCCCCCAAATAAACAAAAAGAGTGGAGAGGCTAGGTATGGATGAATTTGTTGTAAAACAAGGAGATGAACCCATTACGAGAAGTTATGGGACAAGTGTAATTGGTAACCCTAGAGGAGGTTAAACTTTGAAGGAGACCCTTGATAGAGAGAATTGAAGAAAGTGGATCATATGGCTAACTCCAGATAAGGATAGGATGAAGATATATTAAGTACTTGAGTTGTAGAACCGACCTCACTCATTTATGTCTGCTCAAACTTCATATAATATCAATCTCTCAAGCTCTACCATGGGTTATGGCTTCTATTCATCTCATGTAACGTCATGCAATTTCCCTTGCATATGGATGTTTACAGTTTGAAGAAGGGATGTTATTGTTTATTGACTCGATATTTCTTTCAATTAGGCTCCCCTTTCCGATGTTAAAGGTATGAAGATTATGAAAAGAGGAAGCCCGCTTCTGCTTGACTTCATTCCTGAGGTATGAAATTGTTTAACTTTGCCTACAAACACATTTTAGGATCCAGTGTCTTAATTTATACATAAGTACATCGTAGATGTACACTAATTTCTCTTCTTACATGCCAGGGAGAATAATTTGAATTGTATAATTACTATACTGGGTGTTTCATTCTGAAATTTTATGGTTATCATCGTGTACATAATGTATGCAGGTTAGTTATTTACCACTATCTGTTATAGTCACCACCTTCAAAAGAGAGAATGTTAAGCAACCCCTTGAAGGTTTTGGAGTTCTTATACCTTCCAAAGAACAACAAAATGGTTTGAATACACTGGGTAATGCTTATTTTTGTCGGTCAAGGTTAGATAAGGGTAATTTGCATGTGTGGCCCCAACCTTTAATCGCAGTCACAGTTTCGTGGCGAACATTTCGTCTTGGCATTTAACTCCTGACCTTCCATTTTCAGAGCATTTTCTTCCTGTTGGATGAAACCTGTCCAACTCCGACACTTCATTCGACGAAACGACAGTTTTACCCTCTACCTCAAGTAAGCCCCTAGCCACCTCCTCAACACAATGTAGAAACACAAGAATTACCACTGAAAGACAAGGAGAGCTTGTAGCAGGCATATTGTCATCAATGTCAACGTCCTCGTTGTCACTCTCTTTGGGCATCTTTTCTGAATCATTTCTCTTATCCAATGCACCCTAATAATCGGAACCATTTTGCGTTTTCCCCTGCTGCAAACTCTGCAACCTTAGTCCAAGCTGATACGGGGATAGGGAGGCTGAACTTGGGGGGGCTGGGTTGGGGGACTGAAGAGGTTTTTTTATGGGTGGGAGGGGTTTCCTTTTATTCTTTTTATATTTATTTGTTTTACTTGTTTGAACTTAAGGGTAAAACTCTACATCAATTTATCGTCTCCTTTGGACAGTTTCCATGTAAAAGGATGAAACCACTTCGAAATTAGAAGGTTAATGAATTGAATTCCAAGAAAATATGTTGGGATAAAAGAGCTACCAGGTCCAAAAGTTGAGGACCACATGTGCAAATTACCTGTTGGATAACTGATATAGTAGTCCGCTCATCTCTGCTATAAATTTTCTGCATGCAGGCACCCTCTTCTCTTCTTCAATGTTTCCAGATCGTGCGCCGCACGATGTACATCTTTATACTACTTTTGTTGGAGGAAGTCGAAATAAAGAACTTGCAAAGGCTTCAAGGTGTTGAAATCTTCAAGGCTCTTTTATGAGTTTGATAGTCCACTAGAATTTGAATTTTGTTCCCATCCACACACACACACACGCATATTTATTTGATTCTTGTTCATGTCTTGTAACTGCTGTGTCTAACATATTATTGTGGTTACAGAGATGAATTGAAGCAGATAGTGACTTCTGATCTCAGACAGTTGTTAGGTGCAGAGGGAGAACCTGCATATCTGAAGTATATAAATATGCTTAACCAATTCATTTTTTGGGCTTTACTCTGATATGGGTATTTACCTTATAAGGTTTACGTGCTTATGTGCTTAAATGCAGTCACTTCTACTGGAGTAAAGCATTTCCTCTGTATGGGAAAAACTATGATTCAGTCATCAAAGCTATTGACAAGATGGAACGAGATCTTCCAGGATTTTTCTATGCAGGTAACTTTTCTTGTCGTCTCATTTATGTTTCCAATCCTTTTAACCTGCTATCTTGACAGAGCTTCTTGTTTTGTTAGTAACAATTTTTTTGTTGATCCTTTGCTCTTTGCACTTGCAAGCAAAGGGAATAATGATTCTCTCCAGAAAAATGTACAATTTTATTCTACATTTGCTTAAGTCATACAAAATGCAATCCCTTTTAACTGCCATCATTATATATTTCCATTTTGTGACTTGTGTTGTTGGGTGGAGCTTAAAAGGATAGACAAACATCATTCGACCTGCATAAAGATAGAATGACTGTTGAAAAAATAAAGTGTGAACTGAGAAAAACTTAATCTTTGTATCATCGTTTCAATGAGGAAGTTATTTGTGCTGTGGGTTTTGAACCATTAGAAAAATTCTGAATGCACAGGGATTGTAATGCAGATACGCCCTTGACTTGACCTTGTTAATGCTGGATACTTGTGTTTTCTCATTAATTTGTCGTGAGCTATATATAAATGATAGGTAATCACAAGGGTGGATTATCAGTTGGCAAAGCAGTAGCGTCTGGGTGCCAAGCAGCTGATCTAGTAATTTCGTATCTGGACTCAGCTTCAAATGATGAGGAAAACTTAAATTGAAGACAATAAAGTCGGATAAAAAGGTATTATTCCTTGCTAATTATAATGCCATTTTGATTTCTTACTTTCATTTTCATCTCCTTAATTTTTTATTGAGACCACTTCTTCCTTGTATTCCAAACAACTATCGGTTTTGCCTTGTTAGTTTTGAACACGGAGTTGTTTTGTATCTAATCTTAGCAGCTGATTACATCTCATTACAGCATGCTGTTTGCGGGATCGTGAGAGTGATGACCAGAACATGAGCACGAGCATGAGCACTCGCAAGTGGACTGGTGGCCAAATGATAGGCTATTTGTTTACGGATCTGACAGAATCGTATGCTTGTCTTATATTTTCAGAGGGAATCCTTTTGTTTGTCCCAGTAAGAAAAGGAACGCTTAATTTTCTTACAGAATCTATTGGATGTCAATGTTGCAGATTGAAGTTGATATATGTATACTTATCACTGGCATTATTAGCCGCATGCATTTGTTACCAATAGCTTGAAAAAATCTCCAGCCAAATAGCTTTACCTTTTTATGGTTGTGTTTTTTCGAGTCTGCATTATACACCAGAATCATTTCACAGTTTTCCATAAAGCTTAACATGGTATTTAGCATTCTGAAATGAAAAAAGATGGCAATGTACCTGACCCGTTGATTATGGTATTGGAGTTTGTGCACAATAAAGAATATAATGTTTTAAAGTGATTAGCACTTTTCAAGGAATGGAAAATATAAAAAGAAAATATTTCTGTCTCTAGATGAAGTTGAAGAATTATCAGCTTTTTATACCAACAATTGACAAGCTAGTTTTTTAATAAAATATGGCCTAAGAACTTGTAATGTTAGTAGTGAAGAAGTCGTGATTAAAAAGAAAGGTCAATTAGCTGTTCTTGTCTCTTGTTTTGGTCTTGGCTAAATCTGACTAAATTATTGAAATCATTTTTGTACTTCAATTATAGATGATAGACGACAAGCATTAGGCATTTTTTTTAATCTCTTATCCCAATAAAAAGTGAGACTCGCCCGAATTTGTTTTGTATTTTGATTCTGTGGGCTAACTAAAGTCTGTGACTGTGTGTAGGTTTAAGGAATCTCCTGATTGCGCCGAGCCACATGAAAAGATTAGCGGGTCCTACAATAATTAGAACCAATCATGTTATCATTAAATTGTGATTTGCATGAGTGTTTACGTGGACACCATTATCTCCTTTGATATCTTCTGCGCCTTTTCACGTCACTGTTCAAATTGTGCCACATGAAAGATGTCAACCATAATTTAAAGCAAAATATACATTTAGGATTTTCCAAAATTTATAATAGTATTCGCAAGTTGGTCCGGATATCCACGATTATAAAAAAAAAAAAAAATTTATATTAGTACTCGATAATCATATGATAAGATGTCAAATTTAATTTAAAAAATTTTATGTGCCCTAAAACATCCTTCATTGCCTCGTACTTCTTTCGAATCCATAAAAATTCACAAAGGACATGTCGAAGATCAAGTTTTAACTTTTAATTCAGAATTTCATTTAGGGTGTGTTTGAGCAATATTATTTTGGAAGAATGTATTTTGGACTAGTAGATTGATGAAAAATGTGTGGCTGAAAAAAAAGGAAAAGTTATTGATGTGATGGAAAATATTATTTTATTAAAAATGTATTGTTGAAAATAAGGTAAAAAAAGGGGTGCTTAACATAAATAAAACAGGACAAGTTCAAAAAGGGTGGCAAAGCAGAAATATTTCGTGTCTCGTGTAGCTTGGAACAAGCTGTACAGTGGAGGCCACAACTGTGTAGGTGGGCCCTCTCTCTTAAAGCTCAAGTTCCAAGTTTCTGTAAAGATTTCATAGGGTCTGGCTTTAGAGTTTCTCATGGTGGAAGTAAATTTAAATCGTGTTGTTGGAGCAAAATTTGAATTTAAATTAATCGAAATATAAATGAGAATGTAAAAGTAATTTTGGAAATATTAATTTACACTCAATTTTTACACTATCATTGAGGATACTAAATAACTTATTTATTATATTGCCAGTTAATGGGTAATTAACTTCACAAAGCTTCCGTTCACCCAAGAAAGCAATTCTAACAATTTACAAAAATCGAACGTTGGTTTTAAAAGCTAAAGCCTAAGAATGAGATATGCTAATGGGACCAAGAAAACTTCTAGTGGAACCGTGAAATGAGTAGGGATTGCAAGAACTGTTCACTTTAAATTGTCACATCATATATATGTATGCATTACTTATACACTAGAACTTTGTTAGAATGCAAATTCATCTTATCAGGATTGGTCTGACGATCATGTCAAATACTAAAATATAGAATGTAGAAAATAAATGGACATAGTTTTTTTATTAAAAAATTATGAATTTGAATCTTTGCCAAGGTATTTGTAGGGATTTGGACTTGGGGTATTTTTGACCATTCTAGCCATTATTGGTTACTAGTTCGCCCATGATGTCCGTATTTTGTCACATAGGTTTTGGAAAGGGTTACTCGACTTAGTTGATAGTCCGAACCTATTATTTATGTTAGGCATTAGACTTCGGCCTTGTCCTGCACTATTTGCTCATCACGTGATGCTTTTGTCTTTGCGAGGCATCCACGTCATGAGAAGATGTAACAACTAACAACTGGTTTGCCAATATCGTGGTGTCTATGTGGGTGACAAGATGGTGAAAGCACTATACAAGGTCAAATACTGATATTGAAGATAAGAGATCGGCCTCATGCCAAGAAACGTACGTGAAGAAAGATAACAAAATTGTCTCAACTGTAAATGATTGGACGTCCCTTCCATTCGTATTGGCCTCCCTCTCTCTCCAGTTACACTTACTCACATCAAGTTGCAACTTCACAGGTTGGATGGGGCGATTTCTTGTCTTCGTGACAAGAACCGACAACATTAATGCAAGCCGGACAAACGGCTCAGCAATTCTACGTCATAATTGACATTTTCTTCTATCTTCCTTCTTCTTCTTGAATGCATGCTGCAGTAAATGCTTTGCCAGTGTCATTTCTATTTTTTTTCTTCAATCATCAGCCTACCTCCACTATTTAGCTAACTTCTTTAATCCCATAAAAAATTTCACCTCACAGCATTATTTTATGCTTCATCTATCCCAAGGATTTGTCTCTATTATCCAAGCAGCCTAATATATCTGGATCTCGTCTCGTAGGCCGTTTTTGTCTGTTTCTCTTTTTCTCCAAAAAAACCCAACATTCTTCTGGTGAGTAGCTTAAGGTTGTTTCTCTGGCTTCTTTAATTGTTTTTTGACCAGTTTAATGCTGGCATTCAGTGATTTACTTGAACAAAATTCACTTGCATTAAATTCCCCATTTGAATTTTTCTTTGATTTCTGGAATTTTGGCTCGTATTTAGACATTTAATGCTGTTTGAACGGTATTTATGCACTAATAGTAGCAATGAGGCAAGTGCTTTAATTGAGCTTTACCAACTTAAGTAGTCTTTCAGAAATTTGCCGATTCGCTGTTTCTGATTGATGGTCTGTCTTTGTTTCTCAGTAGCCCATTGAAGCTGCAACCTTTCTAGGGTTTTGTTCACAAACTTTTGAAATTGTTGGTCTCTAATTGGGATTTGCAAATGAGTTGTTCAAATGTAGTTGTTATGGTGGTTCTTTCATGGATTTTCTTTGCTTCAAGTACTCATCAGTTAAGAAGCTATGAAACACAAATTCTTCTTCAGCTGAGGAAGCACTTGGAGCACCCAATGCAATTGGCTAATTGGGAAAATTACAATGGTGATTTCTGTAATTTGTTCTCCCCTCCACAAATTAGCATCAAATGCGAGAACAACTCTGTTATCGAGCTCAGGATTATGGGAGATAAGCCTGTCAACGTCAGTGAATTCATTGGATTCCCAATTCCCAATCAAACCTTATCTGGAAGTTTTTCTATTGATTCTTTTGTTACCACATTGACAAGGTTAACTAGCTTAAGGGTTCTCAGCTTAGTCTCTCTGGGAATTTGGGGACCACTTCCTGACAAAATTCATCGGTTATATTCCCTTGAAGCTTTTGATATGAGTTCGAATTTTATATTTGGTTCTGTTCCATCAGAGATGTCTAGATTGGTGAAGCTTCAGACTTTCACATTGGATGGGAATTTTTTCAATGATACAATCCCCGAATGGCTCAATTCTCTAACAAATCTCACTGTTTTAAGCTTAAAGAACAACAGGTTCAAGGGTCAGATTCCTTCTACAGTTTCCAGAATAACAACACTGACTGAAGTTGTTTTGTCCCACAATTTGCTTTCTGGGAAATTGCCTGATTTGAGTGACTTGTCTAATTTACAACTGTTGGATTTGAGAGAGAACCATTTAGATTCCATACTGCCTCCTCTGCCAAAAGGACTGACTAATATTTTTCTCAGCAATAATTCATTTTCTGGTAGTATCCCGGACCAACTTGGCAAATTGAATGAACTTCAGCGTCTCGATTTATCAAATAATCATCTGAGTGGGATGACTCCTACGGAGTTGTTCTCTTTGCCCAATATTAGTTACTTGAATTTATCATCCAACATGCTTAGTGGTTCACTTCCACAGCATCTCAAGTGTGGGGATGCTCTCAGTCTCGTCGATATTTCTGATAACAGATTGATAGGTGCGCTTCCAACTTGCCTGGACATTGATTCAGATAAGAGAGTTGTCAAGACTAGTGGGAATTGCTTGTCGTTTGATACCAGAAGTCAGCATCCTGAGTCATATTGCAATGACACTGGAAAAGATAAAGGACTATCTTCTGGGAAGAAAATAGCCATATTTACCGCCGTCACTGGGGGAATTGTTGTCACTGTTGTACTCCTCTTGGTTGCTGGGCTTCTCTTTTTCTGTAAAAGACATCACACAGAGAGGACAGTGGTTCAGCATGTTACACCAAAGATTGTGCAAGATGATGCACCGCTAGGGATTTCTGCCGAACTCCTTGCAAATGCCAGTAAGTTCTGTTAAAATTCAGTTGAGATTTCCGCATATTTTAGCATTTCCTTGAGAGAATCTAATCATAGACCCTCTCAAGGAAATAGTTTTTGCTTAAAATTCGTTTACCCATTTTTTTCCTTTAGGGATCATTACTCAAGCTGCAAAACTCGGTACACGAAGTGCTCCAGCATGTAGGGTGTTTTCCATTGAAGAACTGGGAGAAGCCACTGACAATTTTGATCAGTTAGCTTTCCTGGGTGAGAGCTCTATAGGAAAGGTACTCCTAGAAATGCTATTTTACTTTCTGAACCGCCCTTTCTTATTAATGAGTATTTGAAAAATATATTATTGACTGATTCACTCAGTCTCCATAGCACGGTATTTGTGTTTTAATGTTTATTGAATGAGAAGCATTTAATTCTAGTTTTCCTGTACAGAGAGTTATGAGAGGCCTGCAAAGATAATCCATGTAGAAATGAATGAAAGTTGTTGTCGAAGGATATGCATAAACAATGAAATTGGCCAGTGGGAATGATGTTTCGGTGAAAGTTATAATGTTATATAACATCAAGAATCAACAGTAGGCTATATAGTGATACATCATGTAGTTAGGGCAAATTTATCAATGCATTTTGAGGAATTTTCTCAAAATAAAAGCATATCTGTGGTGATTGTATGCATTGGGCGACATTTGACATCCAAAACCATGAACTGAAGTCTTACTATTATAGAAATTTCTGGCAAAGTGGCTATTTCTGCCCGAATCAGATAGACAACTCTCATATAAAACACAGCGTTTAAATCAGAGGTTTAACAAATTCACCTTCTAATTTATTTTTAACTCCATGTGACTAATATTAAATTATGAACAACCTTACTTAACATTTTGTTCTCATTATTTTCAGATTTATAAAGGAAGATTAGAGAATGGCACCTATGTTGCTATACGATCCTTGGCTTTATGTAGAAAATATTCTATTCAGAACCTCAAACAACACTTGGATTTGCTCTCAAAGCTTCGGCACCCCCATCTTGTAGGCCTTCTAGGTCATTGCATTGATGGTGGAAGGCAGGACGATTTATCTGTCCATAGATTGCTTCTCGTGTATGAATTTGTCCCTAATGGAAACTTCTGTGCTTACCTTTCAGGTAGTAGAACTACTGCATCGGGTTATCCTTAATGTATATCTAGAACTTGAAGTCACTGAGTCCAACTTTAAGTCTATATTTCTAGACAAGTCATTTTTAAGAACCTTCTACCTTCATTTTTGATCATTTGAAAATCCTTTGAGTTGTCCTGCCCATTTTCTGTGAATGCATATTCCTTATATTGGACTTCATTGAGCTTGAATTCAATTATATGTATCTGCAGACACTAGTCCCGGGAAAGCGCTGAAGTGGTCGGATAGATTAGGTGTGCTGATCGGTGTTGCCAAGGCTGTGCATTTTCTACATACTGGGGTGATTCCCCCGTGTTACAATAACTGCCTGAAGACGAATAATATACTGCTGGATGAGCATCAGATTGCAAAGCTTAGTGACTACGGGATGTCCATAATCACGGATGAAACTGAAAGGGCTGAAGTATGTTTCCTTGATATTTTGACCATATTAGTGGTTGCAAGGGCTATGCCTAACACATATAATATCTTTTTTGTAGGCTAAGGTGGATGGCTCCAAATCATGGTAAGGAAATTTCCACTTGAAATAATATTCTCAGTGGGGGCTCTAAATGGTTTATTGGTTTTTTTTTTTGGTTTTGGAAAAAAGCTAATATTTGAGATTATTGAATTCCGTCACTGACAATTCATGCTAAAGCCTGCAAATTATTATAGGAAATGTTTTCCTAGGTTCTTGATCCACAAATTGAAGTTCAGATGTTGTTTATGTCATCTGTGCTTTACCCATTCCCTACTTTTTTAAATTTAACAACAGTTTGGTGATATAAAAAAAGTATCCATCACCCTTTTTTTTCTGTCTCTATAGTAATGTCCTCTTGTTACCCAACTTCTATTTTTTGTGTTCTATGCTAGTTTTACTTTCAAGATTGTAGTGCAGTTGGGGATGTCTGTTTGGAAACCAAGAATGTGGTTCTACTTTTAGTGTTAATATATAAAACTGTTGTTACAGGCGTTCGACAAAGCGAGAGGATGATGTTTACAACTTTGGATTCATATTGCTCGAGTCACTTGTGGGTCCTATTGCAAGTGGAAAAGGAGAAGCATTTTTGCTAAATGAAATGGTATGATATGTCATTTTTTAACATGATTCCAATTTCCTTTGGTAGCCTCAACATGCTCAAAGTTCCAAGTACTATACTTAAAGTCAAAGATTATGCTGCAACTAATCACGTGCCATCATTTTAAATTTTGACTTTTATACCTTGGTTTCAAAATACAGACGTCCTTTGGGAGTCAAGACGGTATGCGCAAAATTGTGGATCCAATTGTGTTAACCACTAGTTCACAGGAGTCGTTGTCAATTGTGGTGTCCTTAACCAATAAATGTATTTTACCTGAATCTTCAAGCCGGCCCTCATTTGAGGATGTCCTCTGGAATCTGCAATATGCAGCTCAAGTTCAGGCTACTGTCGATTCAGATCAGAAATCAGATACTACCTCACAGTCAGAACTTCAATTGAGATAACTATCCTATCGTAATGACATTCATGTACTTACCGTGGAGTCTCATTGCAGTGTTGTGATGAGGAAGCACCTTTGTGGTGGTTCTGTAAGCATGAAAATGGCCATGTTCCAACTAGCTATTCTCATTTTATTCGTAATTGTGTAGATTGTATATGTTGTTTTGTTTCTCTTTTTCTGATTTACCTCAGGAAATATGTGATATTTCAGACTACAGCCTCTTAGATATCATCTCCAAACAAACTTGTAATAGGAAGTTTTTCTCATTCATGTTCTTGTTCCTATCATGGAACTACTTTCATTGTAATGCCGCAGCTTGATAATTTACCTTATTGTGCTCCACAAGATATGATTTACCCCCAAGTTTTCGATTTGAATACAGGCTTGCATTGATTGTGAGTCATTATAGAGTGCCCAGTAGTGGGGTATGATGTACAAACATTCCTAGAAGGAAAATGTGTCTGTGTTCATCAAGTGTCATGCCATCTCATGTCTACCTCGATACCATCGGACACTCAAGGATATGTATTCAATAAACCATGTGTCCTTGTCCCACTTTTTAAATATTTTTAAAGTTACCACACTTGAAACATGCTCCTCAACTACGCTTGACTTTTGTGGGTAGGGTTTTAATCTAACTTTGCTATTGTTTAGGGGTAGACATGGTTCCATTTGATTTTGGTTTCAAAAGAATCAAATAGAATCATGAACTAATGATTTTTTTTTTTTTTAATAATGGAACAAAATGATTTTTTTGAAGATATGGAACCAACCCGGAACCGAATGGTTTCGTTTGATTTGGTTTTATTTTCATTATTGATTGAAAAAAAGAGAGGAAACATGTCATTACAAAACATTTGAGGTTTCAACTTCAGATATCCATATGACAGTGGTGGTTGAGCGCGACGGTAGGCGGCATGTGGTATTTGTTGGTCTTCATGTGAGAGTTGGTGTATAAATTGAAAAGGAGAAAAAAAATGAGAAATTATGGGTTTTCAAAATGAATTGGGCTCTTCAGTCTCCACATTGAGAAATGCAAAATCGAAGATACGTGACATTTTTGTCATGATTTTCAATTGAATTTTAAATTTTGTTGTGTGAATTGTGATTCACTAATTTTTGTGTATATATATATCCCTTGTTTGAGCCCCATTTTAAGAGATTTTTGAATAGTAGTTGTTGGAGAATGTTTAGTTAAAAATAATAAAAAAGTTTTCGATTTACGTATAATATTATTTTATTGAATAATATGTGGTTGATAAAAATGAATTTTTGATAAAATGGGACTCAAACAATGGCATAATATAAACAATTTAAAAATTTAAACATCGAGTTTGGTTATTGGCCCCCGTTTGGTGCACATTTTGAAGGTGATAATGCATTTTTACTGTTAATGTGATGGGGAATATGTGGTTGAAAAAGAAGGAAAAATTATTGATGTAATGGAAACTATTATTTTATTGAAAAATGTGTGGTTGAAAATGATTAGAAGAGCGAGAATGAAAAAAATAATGTGGACCAAACATGCCTTGATTCTAGAATTAGAATCCAACCAGAACCAGAACCATAATTTTTTTTTTTTGTGTTTGATTGGGTTANATCCAACCAGAACCAGAACCATAAATTTTTTTTTGTGTTTGATTGGGTTATCTTGTCGACCCGTTATTGTTCCTTGATTAGGTGCCATGCCAACAGCTTTGCTATCTAGTCTAAGCCAGCCTAACAGAAGAATCGTCGGGCCAATAAGGAGTCTGTTTGGTGTCAATTGTTGTTTGTTGTGAGATGACCTTACAGCTTACCAATTACGGAAATGAAAATTAGCTGAGAATTGGGATGGAGAATTGTCAAATCTTACCTAAAAAATATCGAAAATGTATGAGAAAACAGTAAATCTTGGGAGTAAAGTGTAAGTATAGTGTGGGTTACAACTTTCAATTTCAGTTTTCATATTTTCACTTGAGCTGGACATCTCAACTTATTAAAAGCCAAATACTTTTACTGAAATTAGAAAAATCCATTTAATTAACATTTTGTAAACATCCTTAAGATATCAGAATATTAAACTAAATTGCAAGCAAACGGAAAAATTATTTTCGATTATTTTGTCATCATTTTCATACTATAAAGTCCTCTATTTTTTTTTTTACGCTCTTCAACATTCTTGCTTTGCTTATATGAGTTAAAACCATCAGTTAAGAAACGCACCGTTTCAGCTCTCTTTCCCTTCGCACTTTCCTCTTAATACTTCTCCACTGCTTTCCCTCTGTCCTGTGTAAGACCTCTCTACATTCTTCGCCTTTTTCTTTTATTGCATTTATCTTCAACTTATTAAGTAATTTTGAATCCTGTATAATAACTGAGTTCATTTAACTATTGTTCATCTGATTGTGCTGACAATATCTGGATCTAGTTTTGGTACTGATCACAAGCTAGAAGCTCCTTTTTTTTTATCTCTTCTTGTTTCAGTTATTAGGTGTTGATATTTCATGTTTTGTTATTAACCGTTTCAAAGAGTGCAGGCGTCTATTTCAATTTTTCTCATTTTCGTTTGGACCTTTTTTATTTCTTTTCCCTGTATGATTTTATGGATTTCCAGTTGTATTCCAGCTATGCTGTAACACGTTTGATAGTGAGGACGACATGTTACTAGACAATTGTAAGAAAAGAGAAGGCCTAATACTGTCTAGTCGATTCTAATACTTTGTACCAACCATGCACCAATTGTCTGGTTACTTTTGACAATGACGTTTGTATACAACAATGAAGTCACGTTACAGTTTCCTGGTCACCCTACACGAGTGAAATCATTTATTCACAAACTTATTTTGATTGTCATGTGAGAGCTCATTTATATAATCAGACTTTTCCGAGCAGTGATCTGTTGACGATAAATATGCTCCTTTGCTTTCTCTATATGTTTTATGTGATTCAATTCTTTTAGGCACGTTCACGCCAATTCATTGAGGTTTTGATGTGGTTGAGGGTTTGTGTTGCTCAATTTGTTCAGGCACATTCCATAGCATTACATGTAAGAAAGCAATCCTATTTCTGTTACCGTGGTTCTGGGTATGAGGACCAAAAATAGGAAAAGCCCTGCGGTTCAGCTTGATTACACAATCTGTATTCAGGAGATTAAGCCCTGGCCCCCATCACAATCACTGAGAACACATCGTTCCGTTCTGATTCAATGGGAACATGGTGATAGGATTTCTGGGTTCACTAACCAAGTTGTCCCTTCACTTGAGACTGGATCTAGTGTAGGTGATGGAAGAATTGAATTCAACGAGTCTTTTAGGCTTCCTGTGACACTATTGAGAGAAATGTCCATTAAAAGTGAGAATGGAGACACTTTTCAGAAGAATTGCCTCTTGTTCAATCTATATGAACCTCGGAGTAATAAGATGGTGAAAGGTCAGCTGTTGGGAACTGCTATTGTAGACTTGGCAGATTACGGTGTTGTTAAAGAGAGTCTAAGCATTAATGTTCCCATTAACTGTAAGCGGACATATAAAAACACTGCACAACCACTTCTCTTCCTAAAGATTCAGCCAGTTAAGATGAGAGGAGCTTCAGTGCACAGGAATCATGGTGATTCTGTTTCTTCATTGCTGAGTGAAGAATATGCAGAAGAAGCTGATTTGGCCTCGTTTACCGATGATGATGTTTCGTCACACTCGTCGCCGACTGTTTTTTCTTCAATAGTTGAATCAAATGGGTGTTCAGCACATCAGAGAGTGGTAAGTTGCTTGTGCTAATCTGGTCTTTATTGCTTTAATACCATTATCATTTCAATAACAACTGTTAGCTACCTATAATTAAGTGGCTAAAATTTCATGAATCTGAATGTGGTCTCGATAATGTAATTAAACTTGCATAAATTCATGTACTTCCCCTTGGATAGATATGGTGTTGGTATATGCATGATGTTATTGTCACATTTATCACTGTCTAATTGCTTCTCTTCATTAGTTCTCTTAACATAGTATATAATGGTAGCAAGTTGGAAAATAATTTCAGAACGGAAAAGTGGGAGTGAATGGCAGTACTGTAGAGCCAAAAGTTGACCATTTCCAAGATTCAAAACACCATGTTGCCAAAGCACATAAGGAGCAAGTGACTATAGAGAGGTCATCTTGTTCCTCATCAATAGATTTATCTTCTGATCTCTCGTGGATCTCAAAGAAAATTACTGCTCGAAGTTTACAGTCCTCTTCAACCAAAGAATCAGAGAGAGAGCAGAATTTTAACTTGAGAAGCCACAGCCATGAAAAACAATCAGTGAACATTCAGGAAAACAATGTTGCAAGTGACATGAAAATTGAATGCTCCAAAGGAAGAATATTTAATGGTACTATTACCAAAGAAACCCACGCAAATTTAGATTGCCAGGCAGATGAAGATTTGGACTTTGTCGAATCTCATTGCAGCAGTAATGGTGATGATATTGTATCTCCTCTTAGCATTGAAGGTCCTAATTATTTTCAAAGAAGTGCTGTCACTCATAATGGTTTTAAAAAGGCTGAGACCCCAGAAAAACATCAAGAATATGCACAAGAAGCAGAAATTACTGAAGAGAATGCGAAATACATTAATGATGATCTGTTGAATAGTTCTTCTCAAGATGATGTTCAAAATCAAGTCTCAGTAGGTAATGGTGAGCTTTCTTCCAGTAAAGAGAATCTCCTGTTTAAGAGAAATTTTCCAAATACCAATGATAGATCAAATCGTGGGAAGTCTGTTTTATCAACAACAGACTTGTACAGAAGCAACAGATCTGTTCAGGTTAATAAATATTTTGTGGCAGACAGTGATATAACTCGAGGCTGTTTAAGCAGAAAACCAAAAGATGCTAAGATGTCTTCAAAGGAATCAAGAAATCACTTTTCAGAGAGTAGAATTCAGCATTTGGAACACAGAATAAAGATGCTAGAAGGAGAACTGAGAGAAGCTGCTGCTATGGAGGTTAGTCTGTACTCAATAGTTGCAGAGCACGGAAGTTCCATGACTAAAGTACATGCTCCAGCTCGACGCCTCTCGAGGCTCTATCTTCATGCATGCAAACAGAATTCAAAATCAAGGGCATGCAGTGTGGCTAAAAGTGCTGCATCAGGATTACTTTTAGTTGCAAAAGCATGCGGAAATGATGTTCCTAGGTATGTTTTTCACTCACCATCCTAGTTCCAAAGCATATCAAGCTAGTTTCATTGAGCTTGATACTTACTCGAAGTGGAGAAAGAGTCTATTCTCTTTGTTGTTAATTAAGCATAAGTGGATTCTTGTGACGCGCCAAGGCCCAGGCAAAAGTTCTCAGTTCTTTCATTTTTCTTTCTCTTGTTTATTTATTTGATTTTGACTTTACTCGGTCAGTATAGTTCAATCAATTACTGGGAAAGTGATTTTTACTTATTTTTCAAATGATGTTTTTTAATGATAAATTAATCCATATCCTGCTGCTATTATTGGTAAAAACTATAAAGTGTTCGACTATTGGTTAACTGCATATCTCTTGAAACGTCGTAGAATCTGAAGCCATTCAATATTCAAATTAGATTGTTTTGAACCTAGACAAAGTTATTGTTTACGAAGCATAGTTTATCTTATTTTGTACTTCATATGATACCTTCTACTGAATGCAGATTAACTTTCTGGCTATCAAATTGCATTGTACTGAGAGCAATTATAAGCAATTCATTTGGAAAAAGTCAGTTACCTATTTCTGTCGGACCTATTACTGGAAAGGTGGGGTATAGGAATGGCAACAAGAAATCAGCAGCACTAATATGGGGGTCCATTTCCGGCAAGGGTACAAGAATTCCTATTGAGGAAAGTTTCAATAACTGGGAGAACCCCCTTATATTTGCAGCTGGACTTGAAAGGGCTGAAGCATGGATATTTTCTCGAATAATTGAGTCTATTTGGTGGCAGGTACCCACTTTCTATTATTTATTAGATTGCTCTGGCAGATTTCTCTGTGTAGTTAATAGAAGCCAAAGAAGATAAGTTCTGCTTAAGAAACTCAGGTTTCCCGATACTAATCATATCACAAGAGAATTTTGGTGACTCTAACCCGAATGAAACCATTTAGTTAACCAAACCTATGTAAGGCTCATTGTTTCTAGGTGTTTATAAACACCTTGGTCAAAAAACCCTTTTGGTCAATCTACTTTTTATTCACACATTTAGTAGGATATACCCCACCACTCATTTACCTGTGTTTATAAGGACCTTGCCAGACATACCCTAATGTGTTTTTATGTTGTCACGTTTTTTCAGACTTTCACTCCACATATGCAGTCTGGTGCTGCCAAAGCAATTCGTAAAAGTATGAATTCTGACAAAAGTAGATTATATCGAAGGACATCTAGTTCAGCCAATCAAGAACAGGGTAATTTTTCTTTGGAATTTTGGAAAAGGGCTTTCAGGGATGCTTGCGAAAGGATTTGTCCTGTTCGAGCCGAAGGACATGAGTGTGGCTGTTTGCGCATGCTCTCTAGAATGGTAAAACTTCTATACCATTATCTTTTTACAATTTGAATAAAGGTCCAATTTCTCCCCCTGGATTGTTTAAATGAGCAACTTATCGCAAAGTTATACTTCCTAAGAATATGAAAAACAAACATACACAACCAAATGATTACATAATAATCCCTGGCAGGCAAAGATACGGTTTCATTTGGAAATATGTTACATGGTTATCACTGTTTTAGCATGGTTCCTGTACTAATTATTTTTAGAAGATATATTTTCAGGAAACATTATGAATAATCTGAGACTAGTATCAACTTAAATACGTCAGACGTTTCATTGATTTTTTATCATACAAAACCTGCTTTCGTCATGGAGTATAACCTGTTAAAAGTTCTGTTTTGATAACTAGATAATGGAGCAATGCATTGCCAGATTGGATGTGTCAATGTTTAATGCCATCCTTCGTAAATCTGCCGATGAAATTCCAACAGATCCTGTTTCCGACCCCATTAGTGATTCTGAGGTTCTTCCTATTCAGGCAGGGAACACTAGCTTTGGGTCTGGTGTACAACTGAAAAATGTGGTGAGTTGTTTCTCACACAATGAAGCCAATAAATAGAAAAGGAAATATCATATTTTTCAATTTGTATGAAATGGCTTCATACCTGATGAACCCGAGCCAATTGTTAGAATTTACTCTTTTCTTTATCTACCTTTTCTTGTATACAAACGGCATTGGACCATCTCACTTTAAATTATCTACTTGATTATGAAGCAAAGTGCTTGATGTGTGTGTCCTACATGACAGATTGGGAACTGGTCTAGATGGTTAACTGATCTCTGCGGTATTGATGATGATGATTCATGTAAAGATGAGACTAGCCAAGATAATGCTGTTAATGACTGGAGAAATGACACATCATTAAAGCCTTTCCATCTCCTCAATGCGCTGAGTGATCTAATGATGCTTCCAAAGGATATGCTACAAAGTCGAACAACTAGAAAAGAGGTTCAGTTTGGGCCTTGAAATCCTATTTTCGATTGTTATCTTGCAAGAGCTATAGTCTGTTCGTATTTATGCAAGTTCTTTTATGTTCCTAGGTATGTCCTACATTTGGTCCAGCACTGATAAGAAGGGTTCTTGACTCTTTCATCCCAGATGAATTTTGCCCCGACTCGATCCCTGGAGTTGTACTTGATGCCTTGAATTCAGAGGTTTGTTCATTTCCAAGGATTCTTCTTCTTTTTACCCTTCCCTTTAGTTCTATAATCATTATTGTACTAGTCACATCTTTCTCACACACTTGAAGTACACATTCATTATGTTTTTTTAAAATTTAAGGATGTTAATCTATTTCTCACTTGGATTGTTCTCTTAAGGATCTTCTTGATGCCGAGGAAGATTCTTTTATGAACTTCCCATGTGCTGCAGCCCCTATCGAATACATGGCACCTTCGGTTTCTTCAGTTACTGTAATTCTACACGAATTCGGTAGCAACTCTTCAATGCTCAAGAAATCATACACTAGTGACGACGAGCTTGATGAACTGAATTCGCCTTTAAGATCTATCATCGCGAACAGTTTTCACCATTCACGTTCTTCAGGAAAGCCCGACTGGAAGTCGACAGAAAGTGGAAGTCAAAATGCCGTGAGGTATCAACTCCTCCGGGAAGTATGGATTAGCAGTGAATGACTAGTAGTTTAAATTTCTAACCTACTTACAGAAAATATGTTCTTAATTTTTTATTTTTTCCTGTGGGCTGCCCAAGGACTTTTCTTGCCATGTATTATAATACCGGAGAAGAAGCCAAAGTTTTTTGTCAACTATTAATAGCCTGCCACTGGAAGAATTCGAATTTGGCAGCTTTCTGGAAGTTTCTATAATTTGGGTCGAAGATTATTTTATACTTGCGATGTTTTGCATTTTGTTTAATCAAATTCTTGAACGTGGAAAATTACAGACCCAAAACTAAAATTTATTTGGAAAATGCCAAAATAGATGTACGCCCACCGTGGGGCTCGAACCCACGACCACAAGGTTAAGAGCCTTGCGCTCTACCAACTGAGCTAGACGGGCATGTTGTCGGTAACTTTAATTAGACAATATCCTGAGTGATAAAACATGATGTACTAATGCAAAGGTGCTTGAATTCGGCTTCAGCCCACAATACTTATGGTTAGGTAAACATTTATTTTTTAGGAATATTATTCATCCCCAGTGTGGTTACAAACACAATTTAAATGACTTTAAATGATAGATTCAATGAAATGTGAAATTAAATAATTTAATTTCACCTATAATTTAATGGTACATTAACGTCACTTAAACTGTATTTATAACTTCAGTAGAGATATAATAACATTACTCTTTATTTTTTATGGCCATATAACCAAATAACTTAGGTTAGCCGTAGATAATCGCGTTGTCCATTGACTTTTGGTTACTATCATTTATAACACATTATTTTTAAATATATAGGACACTTCCTGGGTGATTCCAAATATTCTGGAAGCCGGACTTTCTCAAAATAAAAGCGATGACCCTTTTTAATTTTCTAATTCAGCGTCCTTACATCCCTGCCAATATATACACACACATACATCTAACCAGCTTGGATATTAATCTTTTTTAAGTTTCTCACTTTTGGTTCCCAGATTCTTTCGATTGTTAATGGAGAAATACCAGCAATACGAACCTGTGTTCAATCATTTTGATGCAAACGGAGACGGGAAAATATCGGCTTCAGAGTTGCAGCAGTGTGTTGAATCAATAAGCCGAGGAGGAGAGTTTTCGTTGGCAGACGCAGATGTTGCTGTGGTTCTGATGGACTCTGATGGAGATGGATTGCTTTGTTTTGAGGATTTTGTGAAATTAGTTGAATTTGGAGTTGGAGAAGAAGAAAAGGCAAATGATTTAAAGGAGACGTTCAGGCTGTATGAAATGGAGGGGAGTGGGTGCATTACACCCAAGAGTTTGAAGAGGATGCTTAGTAAATTAGGAGAGATCAGGAGCATTGAGGAATGTAGTGTTATGATTCATCATTTTGATCTCAATGGAGATGGGGTGCTCAATTTTGACGAGTTTAAGGTTATGATGTCGTGTTGACCTTAAATTTTTTCATCTTCATCGTCCTTTTTTGTTTCAGTTTCATCATTGCTTGCTTATTGTATAATTAGTAGACATTCATTCTTTCTGCTTTGGATTTAAGATTTTGTTCAATCAGTTCCTCTCCTATTTGTTGGACTGCTCCGAAGAGAGAGAGGCCCATTGGGCTTCAAAGGCCCACAAAACTAATTTCATCTACCCTCCATTGGTAACGAATCAAGATGGGAAGCCCCTATTCCACAACCATTAAAATGAAAATTTTGAATTTTTGTGCAAAATATTTTATTACAAGATTGTACTGTTGAAAATAAGTTTGAGAAAAAAATAGCTTTGTTTTAATGATTGTCAAACACGAAGAATTCGTGGCTATAAATAAACAAATTAATGTTGACATCCTTTTGGAACGATTCAATGAACCTGTGTTGAGAATTAGTTAGATGTCACATGATTAAGATGCATAATAAATATGTTGACATTTAAGGAAGATTGCTAAGGAGTAGTTAATACTGCCATTATTTCCACCTACTAATAATCCATGCATGAACTATTAGCTTCCCGTGTGTTACTTGCACCTTTTGCGTGACATGTTGATGCATGAGAAGATTATAAGAAAAACAAAAATTTACACAAAAAGAATTTCAACGAAAAGAAATTCAAGAAAACTTTATTTCATTCAAAATTGAGTTGTCTCAAAGGGCTTACAACGTTTAAATAGAGAAAAATCTAAGAAAATTCGAAAAAAATTACATAATAATGAGAAAATATTATTTTTCCAAAAATGAAAAAAATTGAGATAATGATGGATCTTGATTCTCCTAATCACCAGGATCATCCCCCAACAAACGAAAATCAAATTTGAGTTTAGTTGATTAAAATATTGCCAAAACAAAAATTATCAAAAATGGCAAAAACGCTTAATTGAAGGCCTAAACGACGGAATTTGCCCAAAATCAGACGTGCATCAGGGTCAAAGGCCCTGAATTGTGATTATTGGCTCGTTTTCAATCTAATTAAACTAGCAATTCACTAAAAACGGACAAACCCGAAATTAAATAGAATTATTATTTTGCCTTCATCATTCTCCCCGAGTTGAAAAAAATTCGCCCTTGAATTTGACGGGGAAGAAATCTCATCATCATCATTAGAATTATCACCACGAAATGGAAGCTCTGGTGGCAACCCATCTGGAAGCTCTTCTGGGAAGTTCTCATGAAACTCCTAAAGCAATGGTTGAACCCTACGAGTGACCTCCTGCTCACTGTCAACTGACTTTTCCACCAGCACATACACTACCCAATATCCTTTCATATTTGTCTCGAACTTCACTATGGTCAGTAAATTAGCGTTATCCCCAACTGTTTTTACTGAGCCCTTATCTGGAAGCAACACACTTTTCTTGTCCCCAATAGTACACGACGATTAGAAGAGATTAGTACGCAACCAGTCAGTATTATTTTCTAGGGAAGTCAGAAAACTCCACCTCACCACCAATGCCTGACCCACATCACCAACCAAAAACTCCTTCTTCTCTGTTGCTTCTTCTGCACCTTCACTGTCAAATACAGGCGGACCGTAATAATCAAATTCTTCCTCATCTATTGCTTCTTCGGTGTCTTCATTGTCAAATACATGCGGACATTCATAATCAAA